TTCTAAATTGGTGACGAAACCTCTCCTTTGATAGAGGGTGAAATATCTTATTTGCTCCCCCAATATACTTTTTAATTTAGATTCTTTGCGGTCAATTCTTCATCAGTCCCTCTATAGCAAAAAGCAACTAATCATATGCTAACATGTCTTATTTAATTTTTCAATCACAATTTTGTTTTATTTTTACCAATCTTAACCATTCAATATAAAAATTAAGTTGCAAGATTTCTCTGAAAAGAAGATGGAGAGATTTCTGTTGGAGAGGATCATTTGCATACTTTTTACATCCATAGTGAAAGGTATTCACTTCTTTTTGTTTTGAAAATTTTTGGTCGTTATTCTACTATCAATTTGAAAATTTTTGGTCGTTATTCTACTATCAATTTGGGTGCCCAAAATTTTCATTTATTTTGTAAGCCCCTTTTACATAGTGGATTACAACCACCAAGTCCAATGGACTTGGATTCCTTGCAATATATTGGCCCTACAATCATGATCCCTGGTCTCAATATGTTGACCATTTTTTGTTGTTGCTTTTTTAATAAAACAGGTGGAGAATTGAAGATACAGTAAACGGTTTAGCAAGTCATAAGAGGTGACCCGCTACAGCGAAACATGGGATATGTGAAAGCTTTTGCATCGGAGGCAAAGCTGTTATGCCAGCAGCATCATAATTGCTTTTCCTGCCAACCAAAAAAAGAAACAGAAAATCACAGCCTTAGCACAGCGTTCCATTTAGATGATGATGATGATGGAACATTTAGAGTTATATCGGTTTAATTGGTGCAACAACCCCAAGCATAATGACCATTATTATTGCTGATATAATCTAGTTGTTATGGGATTACTTTTTCATTGGTCAAACACAACAAATAAAATAGGTGTTTTCTGCGGATGGTTCCCAAGTGTTCTTTTCAATCTATGGAATTTGGTAATGTCCCTCCCTTTTTTCAAGTTGAAACCCCGTTATTTCTCAATGTTATAAATGGATAATTTCAACCCCGTGATTTGCAATGACTTCATTTTGTTTTAGGGTTTTGATTTCGCGTTTCATCACTACTAATTATACTTTTTATGTTAATTTGACATTTATTAATTTTTTAATCGGGAACCGAAACATATATTACAATTAGAACCCGTTATTCTATCCTACTAGAGTAATATAATTACTGTTCCAAGAATATAACTGAGTTAGATGAGAAAATAAATGATAACAATTATCTTTCTAAAATATTTTTAATTTATTTTATTTCTTCTCTTATTTTTATCATCTCTATTTTTATATGTTTTTAAAAATATAATAAAAAATTTAAAAATATATTAATTTTTTTTTTAAAAAAATAATATTTTCAATTGTTTATATATTTTTTTTATAAATTTAAAATAAATAATTAAAACAAAGTAAATAAAATAAAATTTAATTTCGTAAATATAAAAAAAAGTAATTTTATTATTTTTTATATTCATATCATATTTTTTTATTAAAATTATATCAAATATTAAATATGAAAAAAAATTATCATTCTTTTATCATATGTTACTCTTATTCTATTTTTATCTTATCTTATCTTGATTGCCAAACGTACCTTTATTTGCTTTTCAGCTAACTTAAATCAAAACTGCATAAAATTTTCTTCTTCCCTCGCATGCATACAGCTAAAATGTGTAATAGGATAAAAGGATAGTGAAAAAAAAAATGACTTACAAAGCTGCATCTTAAAAATTTGTGCTCTTGGATGAAGATTAATTTTTATATATTACCTTTAGAAATAATATGTATAAAAATATGATATTTTTTTAAAAATTATAAATATAAAGTTTAAAAATTATCAATGACAATTTTTGGTCTAGGTACAAAATTTTAGAAATAAAAGAACGTAAAAAATGTAATTTAAAGAAAATTTGTATAAGAAATTTAAAGTTACATATCTTTAATTTATATTATTTTAAAATATTTGTTTAGATAGAATAATTAATTTTTTAATTTAAAGTTATTTAACTTAAAAGTTATTTAACAGAATTGGGCTTATGCTTTATCTTTGAGTCAAATAATCAAAATTCTAACGTGAGGAATGACGATTAAAAGTTATTTAACTTACATTTTGATCCAAATTGGTAAACCCAGATATAGTTTGAAATATGATTTATGTATAAAGAATAGAATATCTCATAACTTTATATTACGACAAAAAAATGCACATAATTTTTATTGGGAGCTGCAATTGATTAAAAATGAAGCAAAGCTATTTTTATTAAAAAATGTATTCAAAATTATTGAGGATGTGTTAAACATTTAGAGTAAGAACTTTATCGTATTGTTTTTTTATTTAAATAAAATGTCTTTCAGCTTGTAGTTTTTTTTATAAATAAATGACATATTTATATTTAAATATTAATTTTATGCAAATATTACAAATAATCATGAACTGTATATAATTAAGTCATATGGTCACTCTGTTAGTTAAAATAATAGAAATATAAATTATTAGGAATTTAATATTTCAATGACTAAACAACTAATTATCATTTTTAAAAAAATTAATAAAAAATAACATTAGGATATTAATATGAAGTGATCATCTGCATCATATACGTTAATACGAAGAGGATGTTTTTAATCAGTACTCTCCATTTTTTATGTTTTGTTATTTTAACATTTTAATTTTATCTCAAAAGTTTTGTTATTTTGTATTTTCAAGATTTATTTAATTTTCTTTTTCATCTGTGCTCATATTTAATGATCATGGATGGATTTTAATTTAACTAATCATCTCATTTTTCTTACCTTTTTCTTCTTTTACCATTATATGAAGATATTTTAATCAAAATTTCCTCGTCTATTATATTAATTAAAACCTTCTTAATATGTACAAAACTTTAAACAACAACTAAGGAATAAAAGGAATGATAGTGTAATTTTATAATAAACATTTTTTAAGGGAGTGTTATTCTTCGATTAAAATCATAGTTTCATTTTAATAATTAAATACGTAATCAATCGAGATGCTCATTATTCATTAATATTAAAAAATTTAACGATGAATAACTTTAAAAGTATAAGGGTTTTTATAACAGATTCAATTACAATTATCCCATATATTAACCCATGATCTTGCTTAGAATAACAAAATCATAATTGTGCACATTACTCCTGTGTTAATAAAAAACACATGAATTGAGATTATGCTTAATTTAAAAATAACAATTAAAGGTTTAACTTGCGCTTTGATCAAAATTGGTAAAGTCAAATAAAAATTTAAAAAATGATTTGTGTAAAAGAAAAAAAAAAGGAAAATCTCATAATTATTGATTACCAAAAAAACAAAAAATAAAAAATTGTGTACAAGTACTATTGAGAGCTGAATCAATAAAAATGAAGAAAAACAATTTATTAAAATTTGATATTTAAAAGTTTTATCTCACATTCAAATACTTAAATGACTGGGTGTTTAAATTTGTAAACTGACTTTATGTAATATAAAATGTAACGTAATATTATGAATTGAATGTTTTTGCAGTGTATAATATTTGAGTATAATGAAGTTATATGGCGGCTCAATTAGGTTAAAATGAATAGAAATGTAAATTTTTTAGAATTTAATATTTCAAAGACTAAACACCTAATTATCATTTTTTATAAAATTTATAAAAACGACATTAGTGTACTAATATGAAGTGATCATTTATATTCATGCATTAATGTGAAGTGCATTTCTTTAATTAGTATTTCCGCTGTTCATCATGTTTTTTTATTTTAATGTTTTAGTTGGGTTAGAAAAGTTTTGTTATTTTATATTTTCAATACTTATTTGTTTTTTTCACTTGTACCTTTATTGATTGTGGATGAATAGTCATCTCATACTATCACTCACTTTTTCTTCACTCTTAACATTCAATGAAGATATTTTAGTTAATCCTTTCGCACTTACTATATTCTTAATTTATGTGCAAAAACCTTGAACAAGAATGAATGGAGAGAATAGTATAATAATTTTTTAATGAATCTTTTTTTAAAAAAGAAGTGGCATTGTCTAATTAAAATTAAAATTTTATTTTAATAGTTGAATACACAAGAAAAATTATAATGATTTTTATAACCGATTCAATTACAATTCTCTCAGATTTTAACCCATGGTTTAGCCTAAAATAACAAAATCATGATTATGCACATTAATCCTATGTTAATAAAAGGACATGGGTGGGAGATGGGGAAAGGATCTTTAGGATCATCTTCACACGTCAAGGATTTTGGCATAGAATTGAAATTGTGCTTGGTTTTTTAATGAGATGACTAAAATTTTAATGTGAACAATAATAATTAATTAAGGTTTTATTTAAGAGATAATTTTAAAAGAGAAAGAGAATGATAAAGTTTGTTTTATAAAAATTTGTCTTTGATTTTTAAAAAAATTAATGTGAGTTTTTATAAACTCTAGTTTATACTTTAGTTTTTTTAATTAATTCTCATTCTTCTTTCTTTTTTCTCTCCTTGCTTATCTTTACTGTCAAATTTCTAAACAAATTCTAAAGGTTTAACTTGTATTTTGATCAAAATTGATAAACTTATAAAAATAATAATAGAAAATTTCAGTGAAGTACAAAAAAATAAATTTCATTTTATTTAAATATATTAATAGTATAATTTTTTTCATTTTTGCATTCAATCATAAAATGTTATATGAAGAAGAATAATTAATTTTATAATAATTAATAGAAAAATTACATCAATAATATAATTTAATTAGTAGTGCATTAAAAGTTAAAATCTAAAAAATTTAGTTGATTTTGAAAAAAAATTTCCTCGTTTTATTAGAAGGTGTCTCACTTTTTCTTTGGGTGGATATTAACATATGGAGACTGGGATGATTCAATCCTTAAAAGCTACGATCATATGTTGGGAAAATTATGGTTCCAATATCTATCATAAGAAGATAAATAAAAAAATAAAATGATTTCAATAGGAGGTATCGGAAGGAATCAGGATAGAATCTATTCCTTGAAAATTAGCAAATGAATTAACAAAGAGAAAGTCAATGGACTTTGCACCATTACATCACACGACATTGAATCAAACACAAAAGCCTATTAGTCAATATAAATACAATTTTTTTTTCTTTCTACAAAACGAGGGTGGCAAATCACAGCTTCAGAGGCTATAATAATACGAGGATAACGATGAGGATGAGACCTTTTCAAGAGCTTGTAGTACCTCTTTCATTGGGGGCCTTTTCGTTGGAACACTAGACACACAACTATACCCTAACTTGAAGTAAGCCAACAAGGCCTCCTCCTTACCCTCCATGTCAGCACGAATAGCCACGTCAACCATCCGCAAGGCCCGGTTCTTATCCTCAACCAAAAGCCCAGGCCCTTGGCCCACGTCATCCAAAATCACAATCTTCCCCGTGAGAAGCTCAAGAAACATGACCCCGAAAGAGTAGACATCCCACTTGGGGTGAGGCTTCAGGTTCCTGAGCGACTCCGGAGCATGGTAAGGAGATACACCACTTATTGAGCTGGGGCTCGGGCTTGGGCTGGGCCCAAATGTAATATCTTGGAAACTATCTCTTGAGGCGGTGGATCTCTTGCTCCCAAAAATACGCGCTGATCCTCCAGCCTTATAACTAGTATCCCCCGTCACAATTCTCTCGAGCCCGAAGTCTCCAATCTTGGGCTCCATGTCGTTCCCCAACAGAACATTGCTAGGCTTCAAATTTCCATGCACGTGCTTCTTCTCGTGGAGATACGCAAGGCCACGTGCCACCCCTTTCGCTATCTTGAGCCTAATTTCCCACGGTAAATGACTCGGCGAGGAGCCCACCTTCCCTGACAGTCCCAGCACAAAAAATTTTACTTTATCATCGTCACAGAACCATTGACCAAAGATAAAAAGAAATAAAAAAAAAGTTTTTCTTTTCTACATAAAAATGCTCAAAGAACAGTTATTTGGTGTAAAATAATGGCAGGGATATAACTAATAGAGCAGAGGAGGGTTCAACATGAAATGGTCCTATTTTGAGTTTGAATTGATGAGAGGGAGAAACGATGTGAGTATGGTTAATGGGCACGCCTATCGCTATCAGAAAGCCATGGGACGACCCACGGCACTGCGTCTCGACATCGTTGACTAGAGATTCATCATTAAAATAAAGGGTTCGGTTGCAACTACTCCACCGTCAACGTCATACATTATGAGCACGGCGCATTCTAGTGAAAAGAAAGGCAGTGTGCTAACGTGCACAAGAACAATGAAAGAGAGAGGAAGAGAAACTTACTGTAACGAACATTGGCAAGGCAACCATTTGGAACGAAATCATAGATGATGAGTTTCTCGTCAAGTCCCCAATAGAATCCACGAACGCGAACCAGGTTGGGGTGGACCAGTTTAGCTATGACCCGAACCTGGTTTTCGAAGTCCTTGAATCGCTCCACGCCACTCTCCCCGATTCTCCGAACCGCCAACGAAGTTCCATCCTCGAGCACAGCCTTGTACATTATGCTGGAGCCAGTGGCACCCAGTATATACGCCGAAGCCTTAAGAAGCGTTTCCACTTCAAGCTCTCGTTCACCATCAACAGTAACCAAAGTTCCCGTTTTGTCTTGTCCTTGTCTTTGATTTTCGTTGCCCTTCTCGTTTTGCCCCTCATGTGCACCACCTTCTACATCACTGTCAGAAGAGTTTGTTGATTCTGAGAATTCTTCTTCTTCAGCTCTTTTTCTCAGACACGACCACCTCGTAAATCCTCTTGACTCTGAGGTTGAAGATGAACTTTCACTCTTTGCTATGGCTGCTTCGTGTTTTATTTCACTCTCTACGTCCTTCTTTCTCTTCAACCTGTAAACGTACACGAAGATGGTAGCTAAAATTCCAATGCCAACAATATCTCCCACCACGATGCCGATAACCGTTCCTCGTCTGAGACCACTTTGTTTTTGCTTCGAAGATCCATTTGGTGCCATTGGAGAATCAAACGTCTTTGGCATAGCAGCAATTGCAGGAGGAGAAGACGCTTTAGGTTCAGATGACGGCGAAGAAGGAATGGGACACGGATTCTTAGTTGCTTCTCCACATAGATCAGCGTTACCGGTGAAGGACTTGGGATTCTGATTCAACAGCACAGCAGAATCGGGAACCTGGCCGGTGAGGTTATTGAAGGAGATGTCAACAGTGGCATTGCTGGGAATTTTCTCCGCGAATTCCGGTGGAATTTTCCCAAAAAATCTGTTGTAAGAGATGTTCAAGTAAAGCATGATATCACCACCGAAATCTAGAGGCAGAGTCCCGTTCAGCAAGTTCGAAGACAGATCCAAAAACTGCAATCTTCGCAGCCCGCTGGGAAGAAAACCGGACAAGTAATTGTTCTTCAATGATGCAACAGTTAGGTTTTGCATGTTCGACAAATTATCAGGTACTTTTCCCGCCAAGGCATTGTCGGAGAGATTAAGAAACCCAAGATTCCGAAGCTGCGTTAAGGATTCCGGAACCTCCCCTGTAATCAAGTTGTTAGACAGGTTCAGGAACCGAAGCTGGGACGCTTGGGAAAGCGAAGAAGGAAGAGACCCATTGAGAGAGTTGTTAGAAAGGTCGAGAATTTCAAGGTGCTCAATGGAACCCAGATCGGAAGGAATCGAACCCAGAAGCTGAGAATTCGGTAGCGACAACGAAGTCACGCGATTTTGGGTACCATTGGTTTCACCTGCAACGGTTGAACATGAAACTCCCCTCCAGGAACACGGAGTTTCGTCGCTGTAGTTCCAATTTGCAAGCGTGTAAAGAGGGTCGTTCAGCACTGCGTACTTGAAAGAAAGCAACAGAACACCGTCTCTGCTTAAGCCATTGCATTTGTTAACAGTGAGGAGAAGAGCGAACGCAATAATCAGAGGTTGAAAGAGGAGACCAACGCTGTGGTGGCTCATGATTTTACACAGTGATGCAACATTTCTGAGGGTAAGAACGGAGCGAGAAAGAGGGGTAACGGGGATTTATTGTGATGGGACACAGGGCCATGTGGATGGAATAATAATATTAATATAGAGATATGGTGAAATAAACAATATATGAGGGGAACAAGAAAATTGAAGAAAATAAAAGGCTGCAAGACATAAACAGCTCACCAAAAACCCAACCTCTTACAAATATGCTCTGTGCATCTACGCTGCTATAATTTATGGTTGAGCTCGAAATAGTTAATTACTTAATTGCTTGTATTCTCTCTCTTCCTATTGAAAAGTGATGTGGGCAATGGGTATAGCATCTTTTTCTACTGCTACTAGACATGCAGGTGGAGTTGGAAGATTTGTAATGCAACTCTGGGTGATTGACTTCACAAACTCTCTAATGATCGAATTCCTGTGTGAAAAATAATTATTTAATACGACTCTTAAAAGCTTTGTGTGTAAAGAATTGGCCACTTTATTGTAGGTATATGGACAAGCTGTCATTTGTTTTTTTCCACTTTCCTCTTAATTAAGGATGGAAAATCAATAAAATTCTACGGCAAATCGAGCTTCCCCGTCTGTAATTGGATACCATAATTTTCACGAACAGGGAAGGGAAGAGATTGAGAACACACGGGGAAATGTTTTTTAAAAGAGAAACAAAAATAATCACAGTATTTATTTCTTCTATGTAATAATTTATGAATCGGCATAGCATATAGTAGTAGTACCATTATTGAAGAGGGTCCCAAAACGTAATACTACTACCCCGTCGCAACGTCATTATTGGAGAAATTAATTGAAATGAAAAGAAAAATATGATCTGAATTCAATGTTCCCAATTTCCAATTTGACTGGCGGTCACTAATAATCGGGCTGTGCCCTTCCATGTATGAACATGTTAAGGACCAACCCACATTGAATTTCCTTAGCGCGAGAAGATATGGACCCATTAATTGGCAAGGGAGACAATAACTACATAGTACCATATCTAATCACCGTGGTATTCACCTTGTTTTTTCTTATAGTTGTCGATGAACTCAAGTCCACAACCTTGATGAAGTTGGCTCAAAAACAATTCTATAGTACAATTATTCTGTGCAAAAAAGGCGTCCTTATTTTGACGGTGGACAAAAACCAAACGGACCCCTATATCTGTCTGTTTACATCTTTTATGAAACATAAACAGATACTGTAGATTCGCCATTAGATTATTCACAATCACAACGTAGCACCAATCCAAATTTTGTGCAATAGTTTTTGTCTTGCATAGTACAGAGCAGCTATATTTCAGACTTGAGGAACTAAGCATTCAGCATTCAGATCACACATGGAAACGCATGATGATTTGCATCATCATCTTATTTTTTATTTATTAGTTTGGCTCTTTCATTTTTAATATTTGGTGGCAGCTTTACTTACCCCTTATTTAAAAATCTTAAAGGTAAGAAAGTAGGCAATTCCCTTTTTAAAAAATTGATCAAACCCAAGATTCAAAAGGTTCAGTACCTGCTTTATAAAGTGGAAAATTCACTTGGCAAACATGATCCAGGCTAAAGTTTATTTAACTTTTACTTTCTGGCTCTATTAATAGTAAAAGTTGCTTTAATTCCTTTTCATTAAGATCAACCCTTTTATTCTTTGCTAGGGATAAAAGGTTTAAAAGGCTCTTAAAGCATATACATCATCTTGCTTTTCTTTAATACAAATATTCTCTTCCCTCATAAAAATATGCCAAGAGCTACTAGAAAGGAGAAGGTTGGGGCCATGGCTGTTTGAGGAAGATGACCAAAAAAGTAGCTTCAAGAAAGGTTAGACTATGGACGTCCTATGGATGATCTAAGACACACCAAACCAACGGTTAAGATTGTGACTGCATGTTAACTAAAACTTGAGCCCATAATACTCTTACTGAACTTTGAAAGTAACATATGCATATATGCTTAAGCCCAACCAACCCCCATCCAAGCGGGGAAATTTAAAACAAGGACTAGTAAACATTAATACTAGCCAACTCCACAGCAATAGCAAAAGCGAAAACAAAAGATGTAAAAGGGACATGCAAATTACATAATTTTAGAGGTTGATTTAGTGATGTCTATGTCATTGCTTAATTCTTTCATTTAAGACCTTTTGTAGGTGATCTCAAACTTTGTGAAAAGATTCTGCGCCCAATGCCTTTAAGTTGGTGTACAATGATTAAGGGCCAAAAGGAAATTTGACTATTCATTGAGCCAATGTAACACTTTGCTCTGTGGCGCCTAGCAACATTATGCTTGTTTTTATCTTTTCTATTACCAACATTGAACAGAACAGAATGTGGCTGTCCCTTTGAACTCACAAGCCTTTTACAAATTTGCTACCCCCAATAAACGGATCGTGTTTGAAAATTATCCCTTTCTTCTCCAATAAGTTAAACCATGGAATCTTTAAATTTCTTGACATTTTGCTCGGTTGATCATCAACCAAGTATTTTTAACAGATAAGGTACAGAGACAGAGAGAGAAATGGTGAAGACTAATTAGTTAATTTGACTAAGCCAAAGAGAACGAAAATCAATGGGGAAAGTAGGCTGAAAAACTTGTCAACAAAGCTAAGGATCAGTTGAATTGAAGCAATGAATGGGTGGTTTCAGCAGTTGAGCTTCGGTAAGCGGAGTCGACCCCGTGAATGGTAAGGCATGGCATAACTTTGTCCAAAGTCTAACAAATATTAAACAATTTGTCTCATGGGACACTTGGATTCAACACCTTAGTGGCTGCTTCTATACACCAGGCTCATTAAGGTTTGTTTCTCATCACTGGCATTTTGTCTTGTGCTTTGTCTAACGTTAATTCAGATTTGTACAACTTGATCCACACATGCATGCACAATCTAAGTTGAGAATATATGTATATTTTACTTCAGATCATGTTTTAAATAAAAGATACGGGTCATTGGATTATTAAAAAAAAAGAAACACTAATCCCAAATTGTTGTAAGATGTAAAGTGATCTTAGTTTGATTATGAACAACGTTATGGTTAATTAGTTCCAATGACCTAATAATTAAATAATAGTGATAATTTGTAACTCCCAGAATTCCGACACTGATGCTTACACATGAAGCCAGCACATGGTCGACTGGGCGGGCATCGGAATAATGTTAACGACATCTTCACTTCATTAATCACCACCGTGTGATTCATCAATTTTATATTTGGGATTTTACTCAGTTACATGTAATTGTTAAGACTCAAGAATCAATATGCTCCCGAGTGGAATGCTCCTAAAAATAGTATTAGTGTGCCAATAACGACTTCTGCTCTCACAGTATTAGAGAAAATAGTAAATTTGTATTCTTTTCTGAAACTCATATCTACGTTTATTTTTCTTACAAGTTTTTTATGGAGACTAAAAAATTAAAGGTAATTCAAAAAAGTATATTTTTTTAAAAATGCAACTTCTCCTTTCTGTTCTTTGATAAATAGACAAAAATTCAAATGAATACATTTTCTGTTCTTTGATAAACAGACCAAAATTCAAATGAATACAATAATGTGCTATGGCTGATCATGACCCTCACATGCCACAAGTAATTTAAGTTTAATTCAATTTTACTTTTTATCTCTAAAATTTAGATAAGTACTATGGTGAGTTAAAAATCAAGAGGTTATTTTATGCTCGTGAAACAATTATTATTATTATTAATTTTATATTAATAAATAATATAATTCATAATTTATTTTAAAAAATATAAATATTTTTTAATTTCTAAAATATTAAAAAAATCACACCCATCAATTCAAAGAGAGAACAATAATTTTAGTTTCATACTTTTTAAAGTAAATTATGTTATTACATTTTTAAAATTTAACAAATTTCGTGTCTCATTGATTTCTTTTTCTACCTAAAATTTTCAAACTCTCGTGCTCTATTCAAAGTGCTTATAAATTCAATTGATTAGACTGTTTTTTTAAACAAATCTCACCAACCGTAATAAAAAATTTCACCAAAAATAAAATAAAAAGTCAAAATTTTGTATAATTATAAAAATAAATAAACTCAATTAACTCAAAAAATAATTTTTAAGAGACAAAAATCACACACAATCTAAACAGAGGAGCAAAAATAAAATTGAACCAATAATGTACCATCAAATAATTCAAATGCATGCTTTCTAATACTTTTTCATAGGATGCAATAAATTATTCTTTTGCTATATGTAAATGAAATCATGTTATGCTTTATTTGAAATGTTTTTTACGTTATTTTAAATCAACCTAATCAGTCATCAATTTAGTTCAGGATACATATAAAATTATGACTAAACCACCAGATCTTTGAAAGATGATGCACTCTATTGAGAAGCTAAAAATCACCCAGCATGTGTTTGATCCAGCCAACATGTATCCAATGAAATAATTGGAGAATTCAAAGCTATTTTGCTAGCAATATCTCCGCTTTCACGGCCTTAAATTATTTTACAGTCATCCACACATGATCACAATAACCTGCTTGTTTTTGAAACTTGTAAAGGGGGCACTTTTATCGTACAAAATTGGTCATAAAAATGATGGGACGCAAATGCAGGTCTCAGCAAATCAGGAAAAGAGTGTTTTGAATGGGACTCCAACTACACGAATGACCTTGGCCGAGTAGTTACTATACTTTTGTCTACTGATCCCATAATTATTTGAGACTCATTAAAAAGTGACGACTCACAGAATGCAGCTCAAATTACCAATTAATTAATCATTCCTCCTCTGTACAATGTTTGAACATAGCATGCAACAGTGTCTTCAGTCATGCTACTTGCCATGGCGAACGAATCTAGCAGGACTAAACCGCTTAAGATCAACAATGGTGGAATGGCCATCGACTACAAGCTCAGCCAAGGCAGCTCCAGTGGCAGGACCATTGAGAATACCCCAACAATTGTGCCCAGTGGCCACATAACAGCCCTTCACCCCAGGAACCTCTCCTATTACAGGCACCCCATCATCTGTACAAGGCAAGAAGCACGCTTGCTCTGCCTTCACACGTGCCTCTCCTTCCCCTTCCCCAAGATGGCTTGACACAGTCTTAGCCACTCTCTTCAGCATCCCAATCGATTCAGGGTTACCCCTTATCTCCTCAGGATCATTCGGTACCTCTTCCTCCTTCGACATCCCACACACATACACCTCCCCTGAAAATTCAACCAACAAACAACAAAACTCTTAACTCTGCAAATCAAACATCAACCTCTTAATTATATTCCTAATTTTAATTTCCATACCTGTGGGCCGAGGATACACTTCTGGGTCCAGAGGTGTTCCTCGTTTGGACGTATAGTAACTCAGAAACAAAGCATGTGGGGTTATGGCACTGGGCTCTCTGGGCTCCAAAACAACACTATGGGCCTTAAGCCCATAAACTCTAAAAAACGATGACAACAACCTTAACTTACTGGACCAAGGGCCCAATGCTAAAACAACAGCATCAGCGTCCAAAACTTCCCCTCCTTCGAGAACTACCGATCCAACTCTCCCTTCTTCAACATTCAACCGTTCCAACTACGCAATCACGAGCTTCACCCCATGCTTCTCCACGGCTCTATCAATGAGGGTACGAGTGAAGAGCTGCGGGTGGACCTGCGCCGTCGTTTCAAATGTTCCAATGGTTCTGGCACTACGAGCTGGTCCATCCACCCAAGACGGCAAGGTGGAGGAGTTAGCAGCAGAGCCTTCGAATTACGAAACCGTGAGGCTCAGAGTGGTTAGAGCTCTGTAACCGTAGGATTGAGGACCGTTCAGTTCTTGAGAGAGTGAACGGTGGAGATTGAAGCTCGCCCGAGCCAACGCCTCCAACGGCCCTCCGTCGCACCAATCCAGGGCGAGGAAGCCGCCGGCTTTTCCGGAAGCGGCGCATGCCACGTCGGACATCTCGATGAGTGTGACGGCGGCGCCCTTCTTCGCGAGGAAATAAGCGGTGCACACTCCTATCACTCCGCCGCCACAGACAACCACGTGCTTCGACTGTTCCATCGGCGATGATGACTCAACTAACTTCGTAGAAGGGATAGGAATTCTGTGTGGCTGAAATGTGATTAGCGGTTGCTGTGGAAACCCAATCACTTGGTTCATACTGACCCCTTTTTTTAAAAGAAATTATTTTTTCAATCGACACGTGTCTGCTACATTGGTTCTTCACGTTCTGTAATTTACGAATCTTCTATTTTTTTGTTTGGTGCATTATGGGCCATTTCAATAGAACATGTTCATGTTAATAAGTCCAGTCCAGTTAGCCTTACTGGGCCTACGCAATTAATAACTCCTGATGTTTGGGGCGTGGCTTTAGCTCTAAAGTATCTCTTTGACCAAAAACAAAAAAAACTCTTAAGTATCTACATCAAGTTTGAATTCTTGCAGGGTTCATAAGGTCTGTTAACATGGTTGGAGGAACTTATTTCAAAGAGAATAATTTTCAATTTTTTAAAAATAAGTTATTAAGTTTTTGGGATGAGTTAAAATCAAATACATACTATCTACACGGTCTCAATTTTCAGTACACACTACATAAAATTTGTCCCTTTAAACCCTCGTATGGTTCAGTAAGAAAATTAGATAAAACTAATGAACAATAAAATAATCGAACAACAGGTAGTAAAATGACACCTTTTATGATCTTGTAGAATTATTTGAATTTTTTTGTAAACTTAAGAATTTTTAATGTAATAGTTTGATTAATAAAATTTGATGTTTATAAAATAAGTCTTAAGTAGTATTCTTAGGACATTAATTAAGGAAGCAATAAATTATAATTTTTTAATAAAAATTACTTGTGAATGTATTACAAATTACAAGAGTAAATATAATAAATGTTTTTTTAAATAAACAAGTAGTTTTAATTTCTTAACTAGTATTCTAAAAATAGAAAAATTGATTCAATATCACATTTTATCAATCATACTTCGAGCTTCGAGCTAAAGTTGTGAGCACGAGTATTGTTTTTCTTAATTATAAACCTAAAATCGCGACCGTTGTTTTGGTTATGGGCAAGGGCATACAGCCATAGCTTGAGTGTTATTTTCAATAGTAAATTCCTTATCTTAAAATTATGGTTGGGCATGACCTTTTCACTAACTTGATCAACATTTTCATGATATAAATCATATAAATCAAGTAAGAGCTGTTTAATAATTTCAAAAACTCTCTCACTTCAAAAAAAAAAAAAGTTTGATATAAAACTAGATTACTAAAAACTAGTGATGACTTAGTTAGATTTACAACTAAAACTTAATGAAAATTTATCAACGAGAATTTCTCCTAGTTGAATTATATCAATCATATAAATTTTCACATTTTGAGGATAATAATTATCACTTAAAATATGATACATTTTATTCACAAGTGAGGATAAAAATTATAAACAACATTAGAACTCTCATTTGTTGTAGTTTAGAATATACATCAAATAATTTGTGATCATTTATACAAACTAAAGAAGAAGATTCAAAGATTATTCATCTATAAAACATTGATATATCTTATGATAAATGAAAATTCTCCGCAAATAAAGAGAAATAGATAAGAGAAGAAAAATAATATACATGCACGGAGAATGATGATAGTAACCGATAACAGTGAACGATAATGATAAATAATGATAATGAATGACGACACTGAAAAGAAAGTGGCGCACAGGGATGATTCTTTATGCTTTATCCATGGAGAACTTTCAAATTTAGGGTCTTGTAATTTTCAAAATGATCATGAATTAAAATTTTAATATTTTGATAGATGTATTTTTCTCTAGTTTCATTTTACGGGTAACTTCTCATGAAGTTAAATTTCAAAAAAAAAATTCAAAAACTTTTTTTAAGGCTTTATTTAAGAGTTTAAAGGGAGAAAGAAGAAAATAATTTAAAAGATAAGAGAGAAGAAGAGAAAGGAAAAAGAAAAGAGTTAATATAAAACTCTTTATATTAGAGGAACTTAAAAATATAAGATTAGAAAGGTTTTGGAAGGTTTATAAACATTTTTCTCTCATCTAAAAACTCTCTAACATGATTAAACATTACATGAGCCTTCCATTCTTTTTAAAAACTAATTTTCAGACAAAAAATAAAAGAACTTCTAAAAGTTTTTGTACAAATCATAAATTATTTTAATAAATTATGTAAACAGTATTTTTAAATTGTAGAAGAACTTATGTTAGATTATTTTAATAATCCTATTATAGTGACTTATATAACTTATAGCATGACTTTAATTAATGATTTAATGTGATGGTGGTCAAATATAAAATATAGAGTCATTGAGGGTATAATTATAAATACAATTATAAAGAAACCCTTCCCTCTCCCTTCAGATAAAAATAAAAGAGCGGTTACGATATTCTCTATTCTCTATCACTTTCACGGTCTCTAAGTGTGCTCACGTTAATCGCAAGAAAGAAACTTTCTCTCAACCATCCGAGAGGAGTTAAAGGAGGAAGGAAGAGTTAGGAAAAATACAAAGGGATAAACGATATCAAAGAGAGAGTTAACATTAAGAAACAATAGATTTAGGTTAGTACTCTCTAAACCATTAATTGTGTGACTACCATGTGTTGTATTGTGAGAACAACATAATTCAAGATCATATGAGAAATGGTAATTTCATAATAACTGTATTGAATAGAAATTACATAATGAAATAAGAAAAATCTAACAGTTGGTATCAGAGAATTGATTGTGAATTTCGTTGATTCTCCATAAAAGATTAGTTTTCCATTAAAGTTTTTCCCAAATTATGTCAAATTTGATGTTAAATAATTATTTTGGATTCAATAATTGAAAACTCTAAGTTTTGGAAGCTAGAAACGTTAAGTTTTGAATCTATAATACGAGCAAGGCCATGTATCAAGAAGCAGGGTAACGCATCAAGAACAAGCACGACCATGCATCAATTATAAGTACGGCCGTGCATCAGGAAGTACGACCATGCTTCAGGAAGCAGGGGCATGCATAAGAAATGAGCATGGCCTTGCTTCATCGAAGCACGACCATGCATCAAGTAAAAGTACAACCGTGCATAGTGATTTCACAACAGAATGAGAAACATAGTTTATAAAAGTTATAGATTGTTTTAGAGTTATATCAAAGTGGATTTTACTCATCAAAGTAATTAAATTATCAAATTAATTAATTCTAAATTGTATGATCATAATGGAAACCTCACAATTTAGTGCTTATTTTGAAAGGTAGCTTGTTAGTCACCAAAGTGGCCTGTCTTTAAAAGTTTGTTTAAGCATTTAATTTTGTATTGTAAATTGTTCAAAATTGTTTGATGCTATGTGGTAACATAAAGGGTGAACAATTTAGCTCATTAATTATAATGCTAGGTAATCACCCAAAAGTGGATTCTTGTATATGATTAATGACATTAAGGAGACATGTAAGCACTTCATAATATGTTTGTATATCCAAAGATGACTTGTATATTGGTTTGAGTGACTGGTTGTCAATTAAAGTTGTTTATTTATTTAGCATCATTATAGATAAATTGTGTATTTAGGCATTACCCAAAGGTAAACTTAGATACATAATTGATGATGGTTGGCTATCTGAATCCATCAAGTTTATTCAAAGCATAAATATTTAAGCATGTGTTAAATATTTCAGTCCCTATGAATACGTATGGCATGAGCAATGGCGTAGTCAAGTTCAATGGGCTCAATTATGATGATTGGGCTGAACAAGTTCGATTCCAACTAGGTGTTATGGACTTAGACCTAGCAATTATTATAGAACAAGAGCCTACAGCCATCACAGAGACCAGTACTGAAGAGGAAAAGACTCTTCGTGAAGCTTGGGAGAGGTCGAACAGGCTGAGCTTGAGCTTGCTGAAAATGTGAAGCCATCAATGCCAAAAACTGAAAATGCTAGGAAATTTATGGCAAAGGTAAAAGAGTATGCACAGTCGAACATTACTAACAAGTTTGTGTCAGGTACCCTATTGACTAAGCTGACTACTAAGAAGTTTGATTGGTTATGGCCCATGATCAATCAAGCAGTAAAGTTGAAATCAATGGGCATGGAGGTGAAGGAATTCTTTCTAGTACAGTTCATTCTGAACTCACTCGCTCCGGAGTTTAGTCAATTCCAGGTGAATTACAACACCGTTAAGGATAAATGGAACATATAGGAAATTAAGGCCATGCTGGTTCAGGAGGAAGGGAGGCTGAAGAAGTTGAAAGAACACTCCGTCCATCTCATATTTCATGAAGGAGCTAGTAGTAGCAAGGGTAAGTCAGGTAAGAAGGACAATAAGGACAAGAAGGATAAAGCCTTATTAAAGGTTTGTGAAGGCCGAATCCAGAAGGGCCAGAAGTGCTTCTTCTACAAAAAGACTGGTCAATTCAAGAAAGATTGTCCAAAGAAAAAGGTTTAGTTCGAAAGGAAAGTGATTTTTTTCGATTCATTCCATAAGCAGAACTGAAAAGTTCTTGTACATGAGGAACAAAATAAAGGCATACTGGTTGCTGCATAGATCTAGAAAAATGTCTTTATGTTCCTGAATATGCTAGAAATTTGATTTTTGTTACAAAGTTGGACGAATTTGGTTTTAATTTTAAGATTGGAAACAGTACTTTTTCTTTGTATAAATACTCGTACTATTTTGGATCTGGTACATTAATTGATAGTTTATATCGTTTCAATCTTAATGTTAAATTTGTTGAATCTCTGTTTCATGTTGAGAATGTTATTAGTAGTAGTTTGAATATGCGTAATGAATGCTCTGCTTTCTTGTGGCATCAAAGGTGAGGTCACATATCTAAAAAAAGGATGATGATGTTAATGAAAAGTGAAATTTTACCTCAATTGAATTTTGTTGACTGGGATGTATGTGTGGATTGTATTAAAGAAAAATAAACTATACACACATCAAAGAATCCAGCCACAAGAAGTAGTCAACTCTTAGAGTTGATACACATTGATATTTGTGGTCTGTTTGACATCCCATCTTGGGGTGGTAAAAGATATTTCATTACCTTTATTGATGACTACTCATGTTATTATTATCTGTATGTGTTGCATGAAAAATTTCAATCAGTGGATGTCTTACAGGTATTCATTGATGAGGTAAAAAGACAACTAGATAGAAAGGTAAAGGTTGTGAGGTCAAATAGAGGTGATG